AGGAGTGTTTTGGCTATTTAGGCTTTTCTATAGAGCCATATGAACTTTAGGATTGCTTTTCTAATTCTGTCAAAAATAATGTTGGCAATTTGATAAGAATTGCATTGAATCTGTAGATTGCTTTGGGTAATATGGTCATTTTAACCATATTGATTCTTCCAGTATATGAGTATGGGATGCCGGGATGTTTCTCCATTTATTTGTGTCTTCTACAGTTTATTTTGTCAGTATTTTGTAGTTTTCTTTGTAGAGATCTTTCACCTCTTTGGTCAAATGTATTTCTAGTTTTTATTTTTTTGTGTGGCTATAGAAAATGACATTGAATTCTTTCTTCTCCTTCTCCTTCTTCTTCTTCTTCTTCTTTTTTTGATGGAGTCTTGCTCTGTTGTATTCTTGCCTGATTGTGGTATTAGGGTAATACTGGATTTGTAGAATGAGTTAGGAAGGGATCCCTCCTCCTAGATTTTTTGGAAGAGTTTCAGTAAGAATGGTACTAGCTCCTCTTTGTACACCTACTTCATTTTGGATAAAATCTTTTTGTTACAGGGCCACAAGTCTCAGTATGATACAGTGTTTTCTACTGCTCACAGTGCTGGATAAACCTTTACAAAAATTTAACACCATCTTTACTAGTTTCCGATTGCTTTGTAACAAATTAACTCAAATTTAGGAGCACACACAATGAAAACTGACCATTTCACAGTTCGTATGGGTCAGGAATCCAAAAGGAGCCAACTGAATCTTCTGCTCTAGAGGTTGCTCTCAGTTCTTGGCACATGGCTTTCACAGACAAATCATGACATGGCTGTGAGTTTTCTTCCAGGCCAGCAGGAGTGAATCCTTGATGATTCACCTTCTTCTTATGGGCTCATCTGACTAGGTCAGACCCATCCAGGACAATCTTCCTCTTGATTAATTCAAAGTCAACTGATTAGTAACTAAGCTTAGATTTTATATTTCCTTATATGAACTGGTCCCAGCAACACTCAAGGGAAGGGGATTAACCTGAATATGTACACCAAAAGCAGGAATCTTGGGGACCATATTAGAATTCTGCTTACCAAACCATCTAATTATCCTTTTCATCCATTACCATAGTTACAATATAAGTATGTATATTGTTATTTGTATTTTTCTCATTATTTTATTGCCAATCCTTGCATAGTTCCTTGAAAAGAGTAGCTCTTTAGGATTCTTAAATATATTAATTAATCCCTTGGTCATTTTGATTGGAGGTGAAAAATCTCCTCCATTTATTAACCACATGATTACAAATAAGTGTCCTTCATTGGATCTTCACTTTTGTGAAATTCAGTAGTGAAAGTTTTCTTTTTTCACTCTTACCAACATCTGAAGGTGAACTCTTTCTAAGGTTTTGGCCTGCAGTATAATTCCTCCACTGCTGTTTCAGGTACGGTTTCAATTAGAAATAGATGGAAACCCAAATTGGGATAGTTCACAGAGGGTTTAATACAAGTACTTCTGGGCTGGGTGCGGTGGCTCACACCTGTAATCCCAGCACTTTGGGAGGCTAAGGCAGGTGAATCACCTGAGGTCAGGAGTTCAAGACCAGCCTGGCCAACATGGTGAAACCCCATCTCTATTAAAAATACAAAAAAAAAAAAAATTAGCTGAGTCTGGTGATGGGCACCTGTAATCCCGGCTACTCAGGAGACTGAGGCAGGAGAATTGCTTGAACCCGGGAGGTAGAAGTTGCAATAAGCAGAGATTGTACCATTGCACTCTAGCCTGGGTGACAGAGCGAGACTCTGTCTCAAAAATAAATAAATAAAATACATAAATAAAGGTACTTCTCTTACAGATGTGGACAGAGTATGAGGAGACCATAGGGATACTTGAGTAATAGTTGGAGCTGTTAACTGCCTCTAGGCCCCAAACGGAGGTAGGACATGGGACATGGGACATGAGACTTCTTTATATATGAAAGGATAGTGAATTGAATGGTGGCACCCAGAAAGATAGGTCCAAGTCCTAACCCCTAGAACCTGTGAATGTGATCTAATTTGGAAAAGAGTATTTGCAGATATAATTAAGTTAAGGACCTCAAGATGAGCTCACCTTGGATTTGGGGTGGGCCCTAAAGCCAATGGCAGGTGTCCTTGTAAGAGAAAAGCAGAAGGAGATTAAAGGCACAGAGAAACACACAGGAGAAGACAATGTGAAGATGGAGGCATATTTGGGAGTGATGCCGGTATAAGCCAAGGAATGCCAAAGACTACCAGCAGTCTTTGGAAGCTAGGAGGGAGATACGCAGCGTATTTTACATCAGAGCATCTACGAGGAACAAACCCTGCCTACACCTTGAAACAAAGTTGTTGTTTCTACAAATAAAAAGCCAATTATTCCTCACATTAATTGAATAAACCGTTCATAATATGTATTTAATTCTCACATTCCATATTTCTGTTTCTGGAGCCTCTATTAAGCTATACCATGTTGATTTATGGACCTATGTTACTTGCTTGCTCCTATACCACACTGTTTTAATACTTGAGTTAATTTCATAATGGATTATGAAAGCTGGCAAAGCAATTTTCTCCCTCATTTTTTTCTTCTGGGAAAAAAAAAATGCTTGAGCTGTCTCAGTGTTCCTTTCTCAGATATATTTTACAATGGATTTGCTGAATTTCGTTAAACTTATATTGGGAATGTTTTTGGAGGGGAGTACACTCAATTTAAATGTTTCTACAAATGCAGGTATATTAGCTGCAAGACATATTTTATGAGATATTATGTTGGGAGAAATTCACTAATTGTCAGAGATTTGCTTAGCAGTTTAGAACTAGGATATGAATAACTTGATGAGATCAATAAGGAAGTGGTTTCTTCGTTATTTACCATGACTATATTCAAGAATGGCAATAAGGCCGGGTGCAGTGGCTCATGCCTGTAATCCCAGCACTTTGGGAGGCCAAGGTGGGCAGATAACCTGAGGTCAGGAGTTCAAGACCAGCCTGGCCAACATGGTGAAACCCTGTCTCTACTAAAAATGCAAACATTAACTGGGCATGGTGGCACATGCCTGTAGTCCCAGCTACTTGGGAGGCTGAGGCAGGAGAATCGCTTGAACCTAGGAGGCGGAAGTTGCAGTGAGCTGAGATCACGCCACTGTACTCCAGCCTAGGTGACAGAGCAAGACTCCATCTCAAAAACAAAACAAAACAAAACAAAATAAAAAAGGCAATAAAAAATGAGAGCCCAGATGGTAAATAATGAAAAAGAGCCCAGTAATTAGACATAATCCAATAAACAAGAAAGATTAGAAGCATCTTGTCTCAGGCTCCAGTCTGACCTGTACCCAAAACATTAGCCCTGCCAGGGGTATGGAAGCCCAGCATCCTCTGCACACCCAGGGCAGCCTAGGATAGAGACAGAAGGTATGATGTGCACATACTCTTTAGGAGGCCTGGGGGTCATTGCAGTGCTCTACTCATGCACACCGGGGCTTCTTGCCATCTGCTTTCTGCCCATCTTGTTTTCCACATCAGTCACACTCCTCCACCTTTCTCTGCAGAGAAGTCATTCGAGCCCAGACAACAGAAGCAGGGGCTTGACTTTCAGAGCATATGTTCCTGTCCTGTCTCTGACCAGCCGTGAGTCTTTGGGCACAGACACCTGTGGAAGTCTTCAGTTTTTTATATGTAAAATGGAGACATCTGGGAAGCCAATGGGGCATACCTCATAGAGGTCCAGTAAAAGATGATACACAGAGTAAACCGATCTCCTAAACAGGTCAGTGGAGTTTATTTTATACACAGACCTGCTGCTATGTGATGCAGTCTTATCCCGTGGCTGCCTCTCTGAGAGTTCACAGAGCAGACACTACATTTAGAAGAGACAGGAAAGGGAGGTGCCTGAAGCAAATGAGACTTTATTACACATGAACTGTGCAGAGGACAATGTTATATTCTTCTGGAACATGCAGCGGAAATGGGTAACAAGGATAGGATAAATTCCCTGCTGTTCGGGAGCCTGCCTTGTAGTTGGTGGAGCAAAACCTCCTGGAGAGGGGCAATATGAGATACAGAGCAAAGGAGAGTGTATCAGCAGCACGGGCAAATAGCAACACAGATTTACAGAGTTTCTGGATCTCCAGACCCAAGGAGTCTATGAGAATTTTCTGGAGGAGGTCTTTTTGGTGGAAGTGGTGCATGAAATTTATTGCTGAGTGTAGAATGACACTGCGTAGTAAAAATGTGACCGCCGATGGGTTTTGTAGAGAGCGTTATTTGGAAAGGCTCAAGTGTAGGCTCCAGTAAATCAGGATCTAGTAAACTGCTGCTGGGGCTAGTGGTGGTTAAACAAGTAGAAAAACACTTTGCTTTGGCTGGATTAGAGGTCAGGAGTTAGAGATGTGGTGGCATTTAGTGAAAGTTTGGTTTATGGAGACTTGGAAAACTATGATGTAAACAGTTTTAATTCTCACTTTATGTGTAGAATTTGAAACGATGCTAATCCACCCAAGTTAAAAATATGTATGAGATTCTTATTTCAATCAGGTGGGTTAAGTGAATGGTACTCCATCTGTTTATGCTGTTTCACCTTAGCTGGCCAACAGAAATACCCATCACTGCAATCTTGATTTGTGAGAAGTCTTTATTCCTTAGGTAAAAACCAGGCCAGACAGCTGGTGAGGGCATCACTGCTGGGCTCCACCCTCCTCCTTTCAGAGGCCTTCCTTTGATTGTTCTCTTCCCGCTATGGATATTTCTTGGCCACATTCCTACCCCTTTGGGCCTCTTCCTCCTCTTCCACTTTGCCCCATTCACATAACCCCATCTGTGCCCCCTCTTCAGGTTTCTCTCTCCCTATCTCCTCAGCAATCTGAGGCCCAGCTACAGGGACAACAGTCGGGGCCAATTACTGTCCTTCAGGGCCATGCCCTTCACTGGGGACCAAAGAGGGTGCCACGTTCATGACTAAGAAGCCCACAGGAGGAATATGAGGTGGACCACATGACAGCCACTGTAGGCCCTGTCTCAGGGGGAGCTCTTTGAAAAAAAGAGAGCCTGGTCCTCTTTCTCTGACTGCTTCACTTCCTGTAGCAACTTGTAGAGGGGTCCTGGAGTGCTTGCGTAATACGGAACTTCTTTGGGCCCAGTCAGCTTCAAGCTTGGACTGTAACAATGATACCAAAAGGAAGAGAAGCCATAGATTCCCAACAGGAATGAGGCATCGATCATCACATGCCAGCAGAAGAAGGTAGTGACAAACATGATGTCACTGATGTCATCGTCTTGCCATGGGTAGCCAGAGACAGGTCTGTATAGAATAAAGCCTGCCTGCATCAGCCAGGAGCCCATCATCAGCATCAGAAAGGTCTCCATCAGCTGGAGATGACACATGTTGGGAGCCCACAGCTGTGCAGTCAACACCAGCAACAGCAGGAACACCACCAAAATGAGCAGAGAGTGAACGTGCAGCTCCACCCCTTCTGAGTCTTTAGCATGTGACACCATCAGCGGCAGGAGCTGGTAGATGATCAGGACCAGGGTACCTTTTTCTAGGCCCACACACCTCTGAGGCAGCACGTTCTTGCTCATGAAGTCCACACAGCCATTGAGAGTGAGGAGGATGAACATGGTGAGGTGCTGCCACTCTTTGGGGTACATGAACCTTGATGGCACCTGCTTGCTCATTAGCACCATCCCGCCATCAAGACAGAGGACCACATAAAATGTTAAGAGGGAGCCAGTCACTATCTTCAGTAATCCTCCATAGGCTATTTTCCACAGCCTGGAACATCTTTGCTTATTCCTGGGAGGGCACAAAGAATACAGGACACAACCTTTGAGTATCATGCCCTTGGAGACCACTGTGGCCTGATATAGTCCATAAGAGAAAAGAAATAGCCCCGGGTAAAAATGGCCAATGAACTTTCCCATGGAATAGAGGCCTGTCTGACTGAAGCATGAAGAACGATACTCAGGACCTCTCTACCCTCCTCTCCCTCACAGGCCCCTGGAGTTTTGGGTCTATATATACAGAGCTAAGTTCTACCTACTTTTATCATCTCCTTCTGCCCACTGCTGTCTCACAGAATGGAAAGTTCTGGACAGGAGCCTAGATTTTTAGTGAGGTAGGTCTCATTATTCCATTTCATTCCAGTACATTGGGAACTAATTGAGTTCTGCCAAAGTAGAAACATAAATACTTTTTAGTATGTACCTGTGGGAATTTGTGCTCTCAGGAGCTCTGCTTTTGGGCCCTTGAGGACCTTCTGGTCACACTTGTCCCTCTCTCTCATGGCTTGCTTCCTTCTGCCCCTGTTCAACGTTCAGAGTAGGAAAAGAGAGGTGCCTGAGCACGGAGATTATCCAGAGAAGACCTGGGTTACTCACAAACCTTCATGCATCCTTTAAGACTCCTTCCTAATCCCAGCACTTTGGGAGGCCAAGGCAGATCTCGAGGTCAGGAGTTCAAGACCAGCCTGGCCAACATGGTGAAAGCCTGTCTCCACTCAAAATACAAAAACTAGCTGAGCATGTTAATGAGTGCCTGTAATCCCAGCTATTTGGAAGGCTGAGACAGGAGTATTACTTGAACCCGGGAGGTGGAGGTTGTAGTGAGCCAAGATCATGTCACTACGCTCCAGCCTGGGTGACAGAGCAAGGCTGTCTCAAAAAAAAAAAAAAAAAAAAAGACTCTTTACTCATATGTTGGGTCATATACTAAGAGCAAATATATTCTTTCCAGACATAAAAGTTTGAAAACATTTGGGTGTGTGTTCATATATTTGAGCTCTTATTCTCTTTATTCTTCTGTAACAGTTTTTGGGGACCACAAAGAAAACCACTCAATTGCCCCAAATTGTCTTTCCACTGAACAGTAGATGAACGTAAAATGTCACCTTTTGAGATCAATTTTGGAATGTTAAGGTGTAATTTTTTATTAAAATGCAGATATGTTGAGATAAGTAGATCCAATGAGTTGCTTATATTTTAATGTGAATTAGGTCCTCGACTTTATTCTCTCTTTAATTATCATTTACTATGTGTTAACACATATAGGCAGAAAGAGTTCTAGGCACTAGGTAGCAACCAGTTGCATATGATGGATTGCATCCAAGGCAAGAGTCTTCATTTATTTATTTTTATTTTTATTTTTATTTTGAGACAGTGTCTCGCTCTGTTGCCCAGGCTGGAGTTCAGTGACTTGATGACAGCTCACTGCAGCCTCAACCTCCTGAGCTCAATCAATCCTCCTGCCTCAGCTGCTGAGTAGCTGGGACAACAGACATGAGCCCCCACATCCAGCTATTTTTTGTATTTTTTGTAGAAATGAGGCCTCACTATGTTGTCCAGGCTGGTCTCAAACTCCTGGGCTCAAGTGATCCACCCACCTCAACCCCCCAAAGTGCTGGGATTACAGGTGTGAGTCACCGAACCTGGCCCTATTTATTTATTTATTCATTATTTTTTATTTTTTTAAATGAAATCATGTTTATTAAGAAAACAAAGGAATGAAAGAATTGCTACTCCACAGGCAAAGCAGCCCCCATTTTTTTTTAATAAAAATTAATGTCTATATAGCCCCTCCTTATCCATGGGTGATACTTTCTAAGACTCCCAGTGGATGCCTGAAACCTGGGATAGGTTAGTACTGAACCCTACATATACTGGTTTCCCCTATACATATACACATACCTATAATAAAGTTTAGTTTACAAATTAGGCACAGCAAAAGATTAGCAATAATAACTAAAAATGGAACAATTATAAAATGATGCTGAAATAAAAGTTGTGTGAATATAATTTCTCTCTCTCTCTCTCTCTCTCTCAAAATTCTATATTTTCAGACTGCAGTTAACTGCGAGTAATTGAAACCTAAGAACATGAAACTGCAGGTAAGGGGGGACTACTGTATTTGAAGTGTGCTACATATTTTTTTTTCTTTTTTGTTTTTTGTTTTGAGACTAAGTCTCTCTGTTTCCCAGGCTGGAGTGCAGTGGCACCATCTCAGCCCACTACCACCTCCACCTGCTGGGTTCAAGCAATTCTCCTGTCTCAGCCTCTCAAATAGTTGGGACTACAGGTGCATGCCACCATACCGCCCAATTTTTTTGTATTTTTAGTAGAGACGGGGTTTCACCATATTGGTCAGGCCAGACCTCAGGCGATCCACCCGCTGTGGCCTCCCAAAGTGCTAGGATTACAGCCATGAGCCACCGCGCCCAGCTGAAGTTCATCCATATTGTTACAAACAGCAGGACCTCCTTCTTTCTTAAGGTTGAATAACATATCATTATATATATGTTTCTTTACTTACCCATCTGTTGGTGGATCCATCTGGGTTCAAGTGATCCACCCACCTCAGCCTCCCAAAGTGCTGTGATTACAGGCATGAGCCACTGTACCTGGCCCCAACTTAGGTTGTTTCTGTATCTTGATTATTGTAACATAAGATTGCAGATATCTCTTTGAGATACTGATTTCATTTAATTTGGATATATACCAAGGAGTGGGATTGCTGGATCGTATGATAGTCCTTTTTAAATTTTTTCAGAAACTTCTGTACTGTTTTTCATAATGGCTGAACCAATTTACATTTCCACCATATTGTACAAGGGTTACCTTTTCTCCACATCTTCAGAAATGCTCCTTATCTTTTGTCTTTTTTGTTATAGCTCTTCTAAGATATGAAGTGATACCTCCTTGCGATTTTTGTTTGCATTTTTCTGTGATTGGTGATGTTGAGCACCTTTTAACATACCCACTGGCCATTTATGCCTTCTTTGGAAAAATGTCTAGAAATGCAGGTTCTTTACTCATTTTTAAACTGGTTATTTGTTTTGTTGTTTTCAAGTTGGGAATACATTTAATCAAAAAGGTGAAAGATCTGTATGCTGAAAACTATAAAGCATTGAAGAAAGAAAAAGAAGAAGACACAAATAAATGGAAAAATATCCCATACTCATGGATTGGAAGAATTAAAATGTTTAATATGTCCATACTACTAAAACCAATCTACAGATTCTATACAATCTCTATCAAAATTTCAATGGCATTTTTCACAGAAGTAGAATAAGCAATTCTAAAATTCAAATGGAAACACAAAATATCCCAAATAGACAAATCAATCTTGAGAACACGGTTGGAGGCATCACACTTCTGATTTCAAATTATATTCCAACGCTATAGTAATCAAAACATTTTATGTCTGACATAAAAACAAACACATAGACCAATGGAATAGAATGGAGAGACCAGAAATTAAACCTACGCATATATGTTCAACTGATCTTCAACAAGAGAACCAAGAATACTCAGTGGGGAAAGGATAGTATTTTCAATAAATGTCTTAGGGAAAACTGGATATTCACATGTAAAAAAAAAAAATGAAATTGGACCCTCATCTTATACCATATACAAAAATCAACTCAAAATGCATTAAAAACTGAAATGTAAGACCTGAAACCATAACCCTTATAAGAAACATAGAGGGTGCCCAGGTGAGGTGGCTCATACCTATAATCCCAGCACTTTGGGAGGCTGAGGCAGGTGGATCACTTGAGGTCCAGAGTTCGAGACCAGCGTGGCCAACACGGTGAAGCCTGTCTCTATTAAAAATACAAAAATTACTGGGTGTATACCCAAAGGATTATAAATTATGCTGCTATAAGGACACATGCACACGTATGTTTATTGCAGCACTATTCACAATAGCAAAGACTTGGAATCAACCCAAATGTCCATCAGTGACAGATTGGATTAAGAAAATGTGGCACATATACACCATGGAATACTATGCAGCCATAAAAAAGGATGAGTTTGTGTCCTTTGTAGGGACATGGATGCAGCTGGAAACCATCATTCTTAGCAAACTATCACAAGAACAGAAAACCAAACACCGCATGTTCTCACTCGTAGGTGGGAACTGAACAATGAGATCACTTGGACTCGGGAAGGGGAACATCACACACCGGGGCCTATCATGGGGAGGGGGGAGGGGGGAGGGATTGCATTGGGAGTTATACCTGATGTAAATGACGAGTTGATGGGTGCAGCACACCAACATGGCACAAGTATACATATGTAGCAAACCTGCACGTTGTGCACATGTACCCTACAACTTGAAGTTTAATAATAATAAATAAATTTAAAAAAAAAAATACAAAAATTTAGCCGGGTGTGGTGGCACATGCCTGTAGTCCCAGCAACTTGGGAGGCTGAGGCAGGAGAATCGCTTGAACTTGGGAGGTGGAGGTTGCAGTGAGCTGAGATTGTGCCACTGCACTCGAGCCTGGGTGACAGAGTGAGACTCTGTCAAAAAAATAAAAAAGAGGAAGTGTAACCTGAGTTATCACACACAGCTCCCTCATTATTTGATGCCCTATGCTGTCTCAGGACTCTGCAGAGAGTCCTCATCAACAAGAAGACACTCGCCAGATGCAGCCCCTTGGCCTTGGACTTCCCAGTCTCCATAACTATAAGAAATAAATTCTTTTTCAGTTCCAGGAATTCTGTTATAAGCAACAAGAAATGGACTAAGATGCCATATATCTGGTAAGAGGCAAATTTCCAAAATATATGAAAGTCTTCATTTAGAAAGGATGGAGAACAAGGTACAGGGAATGTGACGCATAGGCACACAAATATTTCTGGGTTTATTACAGAGGGTACATGGAATAGGAATTTCTCTGAGGGTGATAAGTGTGCTTAAGGGAGAAGTTCATCACAGAACATAAATCATGCTGATTTTGATCCTCCACATCTTGTATCATCTGTCTTCATGATACAAGCAATGCTGTAGGGCAGAGAGACAGCATCTGTGTGCTGACACCCCTAGTGGGCACAAGGAGAGTTTACACCTAGGTCACCGCGCTGCCTCTGAGCTCTCTCTCCCATCCAAATATTTCTCACACTTACTTATGTCCCCACTTAATCCTATCCATCCAAATATTTCTCACACGTACTTAATACCATTATGTGCTGCATAATGATGATGGACCACATATTCAACCATGGTCCCATAAGATTATAATGGAGCTGAAAAAT